GGGGATCCTTGGTGGAAATCTGTTTGACAGAAAAACGAGGTGACTCTTCCTCCTTCTCCAACATCCTCAGGTTGGTTTGTTTTTCAGAACAAGTGGGCTGGAGGCAGAGGAGGTGCTCCAGTGGGTACATCTTCGAGAAGTAAATCCTGGGTGCCGGCCATTCCGCCGGGATCACTGACCGGATCACTCTCCCTTTGAGGAACGAGGACACAAGCAGGATTTACTGGAGTCCCCAGACTCATCATTCTTCCCACGTTTCCCCCATAGCTGCTAAGTGTGCGTGGGGCATCTTGTCGGTCGTGAACCCTGAGGGCCCATCCTTGGCTGCAGAACTCCCTAAAGGAGGAATTTTCCCACTGCTGATCTTCCTGGCAAGGAGCACGGGCTCGCTTAATGCAATTGTTGTTTTTATCAGTCACTGAACGCTCTGCAGCTCGAGCTGGGTGGTCTCTGAGATGTCACACAAGACTCACGTGGGCTGGGTTGGGGAGAGGAGAGGTTTTTATGGTCAGGGAGGAACCGGCCAAATTCCTCATGGTATCTGGTGGAGCCCGTCCTCACCTGGTTCAGCAGAGGTGGACTGGAAGGGGCTGCCTTGCTCAGTTCTGCTGCCCATCCCTTTGAGGAGGGCAGCAGGAGAGCCCTCATTCCTGGCAGGATTGCAGCAGGTCAGCAAATCTCACTGGAAGGGTCTCGCCAGGAACGGGGCAGATGAACTCTAAAAAAAGCCACCCGAGGAGCACTGACTAAATTCATTTATCATGGGCACAGCTGATTTGAGAGGATTTCTAGACCTGGAGCCTGAGGGGATCACCTTCAGGCCTCTGATCGAAACCACCACAAATTGCTGAGATCCCAGCACAGGGAGATCTCCTGGCCCCCAGGGGTGGCTCTTTCTTCCTGCAGTTGGGTTGTGTGTGGTCAGCAGAGTGTCCCTGCGGTCCGACAGCCAGCGGGAATGACCAGCAGCACTGGCATTCCCGGAAAGAGTTTGGGAGCCAACTCCAGCAGAGAGCTTAGAGCTGGACACACTTTGAAGGCTTCCACTTCCCCAGGAATTTATTTAGAAGCAAAACAAGAGGGTGATGGGGTGGAAATTATCTTCAGCAAGGGATTGCTCTTTTCCCAGTCGTTTTTTGCCCTGCTAGTGAAAGCATTTCACAAACAACTGGTGAAGTTTCGCATCATCCTGTGGCAGCTGGAAGCAGCAATAGATCGTTGCTTTATTTCCCTCTTCAGCTGGGAAATCTTCAGCAAATCAGGAGGTGCAGGTGGTTAATGGGACCTGTAATTGAAAAAGAAGGGGAAAAAAACCCTCCAAATGCATGGAGAGTTATGGAAAGCCCCAAGAAAGGGACTGGTGACAGGTAGGAAAATCCCTCTGACTTTCCAGCAGCCCCAGAGGCTTGGGCAGCAAAATTCCATCGAATTCCATCTGCTGGTGGTGTCACCTTGGGGGTGTCACCTCGTCTGAGGAGGGACAGCCCACCCCACCCCACGGATGTCCTGGTGTTTCACTGGATTTAGTTGCACGTCCCATCTTGGGATGAAGGCCAGTTGGATGCTGCATTAGAATTTAAGTTGGACTGGTTAGATCCTGCTCGGGCTTGGACTCCATCCTTAATTTCTTTTGTGTGGTCTTCTCTTGGGAAGCTTTAGAGAAAACCAGCAGTTTGTTACAGGAACGTCTGGATCTCATCCAGGGACCGTCTTCCTCGTGCTGTGGACTACTGTGCAGCTCCAAAACAGCCCTGGCCACCTCTTGCCCTTCCTCCAGTCCCATCTCCAGGTGTTCCATCCCTGGGTGTTCTCCCTGCCCCGAGCACGCTCAGCAGCTGCCGTCGCTCGGGAATGGAGGGTCTCCAAGTTGGATATCTGCCCACCCTCGAATGGAGACCACCAGACTCGCCTGCTGTGCAGCAATGAGCTGCGAGAGGCTCTCAGCATGCGAGTTTCCACGAGGCAGGAGTTCTCTTTGGAGGGATCCAATTCCCCCTTCCCTCCGTCTGCAACCTCCGCCCTTCGGGTCTAAATCGTGGAGCTGCCCAAATATCTGGATCCCTGCAGGGCAGGAGGCTCAGAGGATGAGGTGACCCCAGGAGAGGCGTGGAAATTGAGCTCTTTTGAATTAAGTTGTGCTATTTTCCCCCACTTTTTCATGAGGAGTAATTATTATCCTTAATCATACTTTTCCCTCCCAACTCTCGTATAATTTTCCAGCTCCCCACCAGAGAAAGGGGAAAATGGTTTTGCTTTTGGTTTCATTTCATTGAAATGAAACCAGGACAGTTCCTTAAAAAATGGTTTGTTTTCTGAGTGGGAAACCTGATAAAAGTAGTGTAGAAGTGGAAAATATTCTCCCTAGCTGTAGGGATGATGCATGGCAAAATACTTTTGATCGAGTCTAATCCAATTACTCTTGATTTGGCAATCCTGAAGGTTTGCCAAACCCATCCTTTTCTTGGAACTGAAGTCCCTGAATGTTCCCATGTACCAGGAATGTCAGGACCTCATGGGTGCTGCCAAGTGCATTGGTGCTGCGCTGTTGCCCTTCCAGAGGGAATATTTTCAATTTCAGCTGTAGGGCTGCAATAAACTCCATCTTAAAGAAACCCAAAATGGGAGAAACTGGGATATTTGCTATCTCTGGCAGAGGATGTAGGGGAGATGGTCATTCCCCCATCACCCTTTAAACCCCAAAAGGACCCTCCCACAGGCAGGTTTGACTCTTTCACCTCTTCCTCCCATGGCAGCCATTTCCAGCTTTCCACTTTCCTGAAATGATTCCCACCTTCAGCCCTGGCAGTGGTTATTCCCGGATGCTCCATCTCCCATCCCAGGAGGTGTTTGAGTGCTTTAAGGATTGGAGAGCAGCCCTGAGGGCACCTGAGTGACATCCTACAATTTGCCAGGAGCACTGTCACCTTGGGGGACATTCCTGACCCCAAAACCTGGTGGAAACATGACTGGAGCAGGGCCAGCAAAGAGAGGCAGGAAGGATGAGGAGCTTGGAAAGTCTTCCACAGGGGGTTAAACATACTGGGAATGTTTAATTTACTGAGGGGAAGAGTAAGGGATGCCACAGTGGATTTTTGAAAGAGTGAGTGATGCAGAGAAGGTCAGGAAACCACTGCTGTCTGCCAGCTCCTATGTTTTATAGGATACCTGAAAGGAGGGCTGGAATATTAAATAATACTTATTCTAATACATGATATTAAATCAAATGTTTAAAATAGGAAAAAAAAAAAAAAAGAGGGGTTGTCAAGTACATCAGTGCTCCAGCTGTCCCTGAGTGATGGTGTTAGGACAGATGGTGTCCAGGTTTTGGGAGCAACATTTGTCCATGGTCCACAAGGCATTGCAGAACAATCTTCTGCCTGCCCCAAGAGGCAGCTGAAATAATTCTCAGTGGATGGGGAAATTCAGCTGAGGTTTTTAGGATTAAAGGCTGAACCTTTAAAAGATGGTTGAGGAGTTTTCCTGCCTGGCAGTGCTGGGATGTGGTGAATAACCCATCGGGAAAAGGACGTGGATGAGGAGCCATGGTTTGCACTCTAGGAGCTGTAGCACGATTTGCTGTGTGAGGCTGATGTTCCAGAGAGACAAATGAGGTTGGGACAAGCTGTGTCACCAGCTCAGCGTGACCCTGTGATTCCACTGTCACTTAAAGTCACACGGATTTACCCCGGCAAAAATATTTGGGACACCTGATGAAAGGGATTTGCTCTGCTGGGACGTTGTGATGTGGTTGTGCTGGATGCTGGTCTGCTAAGGCTCCTGCAGCTCTGGGATGGAGCTGAAACTCCTGCAGGCTCCTCTTGGAGATGATGGAGGGAGCGAGGGAGGCTTTCCAAGCTGGATCACCGGCTTTGGATGTGGCAGCCGGCGTGTGGTACTTTGTTCTGCTAATGATGCTGCTTCCACCCTTCCCCATTTCCCTGCTGACACTGGCGACCCTCTGCTGTGCTCCTGGCTTTGTTTTAATCCTCACTAATGGCAAAAGAAAACAACTGGTGCTTTGCTTCCTCCTCAGTCCGAGGATGCTCCTCAGATGGGGGATAAGGGACGGATTTTGTCCAGCCCACGGGCCAAAGCTCACAGAGGCTTTGGCGGGTGTTGCTCCAAGATTCCTATCTGAGGAGCTCTCCCAGGGGAGGGATGTGTAAAATGAGTGATCAGGAGCTTGTCTGGGCAGTGGGTTGCAGCAGCAGGGCTGGGAGAGGAGCACAGGAACTGGGAGCTGGCTGGGGACAGCAGCTCTGTGTCGTGTCATCTCTCTCTGTCACAGCACCTAAGGACAAAAGTTAAAAAAGTGCTTGTGAAAATCCCCTCTCCAGCTCTCTTGGATCCCCTTCAGGCCCTGGAAGGGGAGCTGAGGTCTCTTGAGCTTTCTCTTCTCCAGGTGAACACTCCCAGCCTGTCTCAGCCCAGGCCACCCAGCAAAGCCCAGCCCTCACCTGGATGATAAATCCCACAGCTGGGAGAGTTTCTTTTCCAGGGAAACACCCAAGAACATGGCCAGGGGGATTGCCCATGGGTTTTAGAGGAGCTGTGAGATGGGGCATCCCTCTTCCACGGGGCTGGGGTGCTCAGACCCCATTCCTCTCCTCGGAAAGTGCAAGACAGCATGGAAAGGTTTGTGGGGCTATTTTTGAAGTGCAGGACAGCTGAGAAAGGTTAAGGAAAGCTGGTCAGAAAGTCGGGGGGCTGCTCTATGTCTGGTCTCTGTGTGTGTTTTCTGAAATACAGATGGGTGCAGCACACCCTGACTTGCCTTTTGCCATGGAAAAATCCAATTCCCGTGAGAGCTGTGGGAAATCAGCTGTGCCAAGACCGTCCAGGTGGAGTTAAGCTGAGCATGGTACAGCCTGTCAGGGAATATCTCCTTACAAAAGCCAGACATGAATCATGTTGCTGAAAGTGTTTTACCCACCTGGGCCTGTCATTCCAATGTGTGGCTAACCTAACACACAGAGTAAATAATTCAGCCCCATCCAGCAGAAAACTTGGCTCTCTCCCTCCCTCCTTCCCACCAAGTGTCGTCAGGAGCAGAGGTAAGACAGCAGGATTGTCCGTGCTGGCTGACCAAAAAATGACTGCAGAATCACAGATCCTGTGTTCAGGCACGATGTGCTTCGTGGCATTTCATCTTTTTCCTGTTTTATTGCCTAGAAAAGGTTGCTTTGGCTCAGAGGATGGGGCTTGGAGCACCCTGGGATAGAGGGAGGTGTCCCTGTTCATGGCAGGGAGGGGCACTGGGTGGGCTTTAAGGTTCCAACCCAAACCATTCCAAAACCAAAGATGATTATTTTATACACAGAGCCAAGTTACTCCTCTCAGCAGCGCTTGGGATTTGTCGTGGGTCAGGTGTTGGTTTTTGGTTTGACACTGTCTATCCACCCACTTTTAATATTAAAATACTAAACTGGATGAAAATATTCCTCCTTCTTATAGTGGCCCAAGTTTTGTTTAAAAACAAGGTGCATGTCCAAAGTGGAATTTGTCATTGTAAAACATTACCAAAAAAAAAAAGAAAAGAAAAGAAAAAAAAATAAATGGTAACCAGGCCTTTGAAACTTGAAGTTGTGGGATTGGTTTTGGCAGGAAATGAAAAAATTTCCTTTTCCTTGATATTCTTCTCTTTGCTTTTTAATTTTTTGGTATTATTACTATTTTTCCTAAGACGATGTAATTTCCTGACTCTCCCTGATCTGAGCTGTACAATCAAAGGGAAAGGAAGACAAACTGGGATAGCTCCTTCCTGTAAGGAAATTATTTCCAATCTTTATTTGAATGCCCCATTGCTTTGCAGGCCTTATCCTTCAGATATGACTGGAAGTATTCTTTGGCAAAGGCCCTGCTTGCAGAGAGAGAGAGGCTGGGGATGGAGGCAAGAGAGGAACGACCCAAGGTGGAGAAAAGGCTCCCAGGTAAAGTTCCCTGAGTTATGCAGCACATTCCTATAATCCAAACAGTGCTTTAGGTTTATTTTTTGCCATCATACCCTGGCTTGTGTGTTTGGTACCTCAAGCAATTCCTTTTCTTATCTGATTAATATGAATCCTGGAATGGTTTGGGTTGGAAGGGACCTCAAAGTTCACCCCTGCCGTGGGCAGGGACACCTTCCACTATCCCAGGCTGCTCCAAGCCCCATCCAGCCTGGCCTTGGACACTGCCAGGGATCCAGGGGCAGCCACAGCATCTCTGGGCACCCCGTGCCAGGGCCTCAGCCCCCTCAAAGTAAGAAATGTCTTCCCAATATTTTATCTAAATCTCCTTCAGTTCGGCTCTCCCCTTCCAGGCCAAATGCTGGGAGTAATTAAAACGTGCTCCATTTGCAAATGGGAATATTTTGCATCTTTCAAACCAGCCTGGGACATTAACAGCAGTTACTGGAAGGGGAGCCAAGCAGGAAACACAGGAAACTCCCCCAAAACCAGATTTTCCAAAAAGATGCAAAGCTTTATGCTTCAAGCAATCCCCAAGAAAGTGATGGAAGACTGCCATGGTGTAGTTTGGTTGGGAATGGGGTTTCAGAAAGCCTTGTGACTGTGATGAAAAATGCTCCTAGACTCGATGCTGACAGATTCTGCCAGTGGGACTCGTGATCCTCGGCTCCAACCAGGACTTGCAGCCATTTTGAAACCAGGAAAACATTGGAGAATCTGTCACTTGCGGCAGTTTTCCAGCCACATCTGAAGCAGCGTTATGAAACAGGTCTGGTCCGGGTTCCCACATCAAAATGGTCGGCCACAGATCCGGATTTGGGGAGTCTCACCCCAACTGCAGCCCAGTTCTCAAAAGGGGTGGATTTGCAGCTCTATTTTCAGCCCATTTTTAATAGGAAAATGGATTTTATTTTGGATGATCCCCAGGAGTTTCTCTATCTTGCAAACTGCTGATTCCCAGATTTGTGTGTAGCATCGAGCAGGGGGTTGGAAACCTGATATTTTTTTCAAGTTTTATGTTCTTTCTGCATGATCCAACTGCTTCTGCTTTTGGCTGGGTCAAATTTCCCGCTAGGAAAAAAAAGTGGGAAAATTTCTGTGCTCTTTGAAAATAAAAAGAAATTTGCTTATTAACAAAGCCCTGGATCCCTGGAAGTGTCCAAGGCCAGGCTGGATGGGGCTTCGAGCAACCTGGGATAATGGAAGGTGTCCCTGCCCATGGTAGGGGGCGGGATAAGATGAGCTTTGGGATTCCTCCCAGCCCAAAGGATTCCATGAAAGCTCAGCCTAAGAACCTTTCACTCAAACCCTGGTCCCTATTTTCATTTTCAGCCAAATAAATTTCTCTCTGTTTCAAGAGTTATGGCCTGATCTAAGGAAAAGAAAATGTAATTCTTATGGAACTTGTTAACAACAGGTTGTCTGTGTCATTTACTGGGTGTTTTGCAGTATAAAACCCCCCCAAATACTCGGGAAATGTTCCCTTTAATGCCCTTATGGAACCATTTTCTTGCCCCTGCAAAAAGCCAGCAGGAAATCATGCATGGAATTGATGCCCTTAGAGGTCTTTTCCAGCCCTAATGATTCTGTGTTGTTCACTATTTAAACAGCATGTTCTGTATCAGTAGGTGCTGAGGAAATATGGTATTTTAGATGAGAATTATTTGACTTGTAAAACTTTAAGGGAATGTTGAAAACCATTCTGGCGCTTGCTAGAGGAAAATAGAGGATTTGAGCTTCTATTGGGATTATTTTTCCTGCTTGTTTCTAAAAATGGCAGCTTCTAATGCACACACTTGAGACTCCTTGGCATTTATCACAGCCTTATTGAGGGATCATTTTCAGGGACTTTGAAAAAGCAGAGGGAAAAATGGTTTAAATCACTAAAAACCTATTTAAATCATTTAAATCTATGTAAGCCATAGAGTTGTTTAGGTGGGAAAAGCCCTCTAGGACCATCAAGTCCAAGAATTCCCTCAGCACTGCCACAGCCTCTCCTCACCCATATGGCTTTTAATTCCCTCTGGGAATGGGGACTCCACCACTGCCTGGGCAGCCCCTGATAAAGCCTGACAACCTTTTCCATGAAGAAATTTTTCCCAATATCCAGTCTAAGCCTCCCCTGGCACAGTTTGAGGCCATTTCCCTTAATCCTGTCCCTGTTCCCTGGAGCACAGCCCGACCCCCCGGCTGTCCCCTCCTGTCAGGAGCTGTGCAGAGCCACAAGGGCCCCCTGAGCCTCCTTTGCTCCAGGCTGAACCCCTTCCCAGCTCCCTCAGCCTCTCCTGGGGCTGCAGAGCCTTCCCAGCTCCATTCCCTGGACATGCTCCAGCCCCTCCATGTCTTCATTGAAACAAGAGGGCCGAGGCTGGGCACAGGCTGTGGAACGAACTGGATGTTATTTTGTAATATTTTCCACCAATTCCACAATTTTTAATTTTTTTCCCCAGTATTTTCCAGCTGCCAGCCCTTGCTCTGCTCCCAGCTCAGCCTCTTTCCCGTGTGACCGTCTGCAGACACAGTTTGATCAGCTCTAACATCCCAAAAGCTTCGTTTGCTCTGTCCCGGGAAAATGAGCCAGTGGGAGGTCTGGAGTTAAGGAAGGAGGTGCACAAAGGTGAGTTTGAAATTAAGGGGAGGCACCTCCAACATCTCCTTTCCGTGGGAGCAGGGCAGGACAGACTTTGCTGGCCAGAGGACACAGCCAGCTCTGGTTTTGGGGCATCAGGGAACAGCCTGGATGGTAAAGGGCTGGTCTTGCCCCTCACCAGGATGTGTGCTCTGTGTGAAAGGTTAGAAAATTGACATAATGAAAAGAAACTCCACATAAATATTCTTTTCACTGTTACCTCACATTTTTCCCAGCCTGGCGAAGAGAAGGCTCTGGGCTTTTCCAAGGAGGGAAAACCACAAGAAACTTGGAGAGAGATCATTTACAAGGGATGGAGTGACAGGAGAAGGGACAATGGATTCCCACTGGCACAGAGAAGGTTTAGGTGGGATAGTGGGAAGAAATTCTTCCCTGGGAGGGTGGGAAGGCTGTGGGGAAGCGGTGGCTGCCCCTGGATCCCTGGAAGTGTCCAAGGCCAGGCTGGACAGGGCTTGGAGCAACCTGGGATAGTGGAAGGTGTCCCTGCCCATGGCATGGGTGGGATGGGATGAGTTTTGAGGTCCTTTCCAACTCAGGCTGTTCTGATTCTGCTTTTAGGAGACAAACTCCAGGGGTTTTGGAGTTCCTCTCTGCTCCGCAGCAGCACACAGGGAAGAGCATCCCTACTCTGCAATAAATCAGTGCTGCCCAGGGGTCTGCCAGCTTCAGAAAAGAAAACACTGGGAGCTCTTTCTTGCCCAAGATGGATCTCTGTGTATATTTACACACACGTACATAATGGATGTGCCTATATATCATTAAATATATCAGTGAAAGAAGCTTTCCTAGAACCACAGCATGCAGCTTTTCCCTGCCAGCAGCCTTTCCCCCGGGCTGGGCTTCCACGTGGGGACCAGATGTGCCCATCCCAAAAGTTCTGCTCACTTCTGTACACTCTCTTTTAGAGTACACTGAAGTACAGCAGGAGCCACATGGGCCAGCCCTCCAGCTGAGGCTGAGCAGGAACCAGGAGTGATTGCTCACTCAGAATGCCATAAATAGCTAAAGAGCTGCTTCCAACAGTAAATAGGGATATGTGAATTAGGAATAAACTCTCCCACTAGTCTGCAGACATTCCAGTTGCTTGTTTTAATATCTTCATGTGGCTTTTTCCCTCCCCTCTCCTTCGCTTTTCTTGGTGGGAGGTGACACAGAGAACAATGAGCAAGGGGCCCACTCTGGTTATCTGAAGCAGAATGAAAAAAAGGGGGAAAAAAAAAAAGGCTGGGATTCTTCAAAAGGAGCCTAGGAGAATTAGAGACCTCAGGCTTTTTGGGAACTGCATATTCAGTTCTTTGAGGGGACCTGAAAGATCCCATCCTCACGACGTTGGCAGAGGATGCAAGGATTTGGGGATGCACTGCCAGCTTGGAGCCTTTGGATGAGCTTCCAAAGCTTCCCTGAGCTGTCTCAGCCAGCCTCCCCTTCTTCTTGACAGCAACCCAAGCTGTCCAAAAAGTAAAATTCCTGTCTCGTGGAATGAAGTGTCCTCGTGGACTTTTCTTTGCTTTTGTTCCAGATGAGAGAGAAAGGTCCAAGTTTTTTCACTGAGTGGAAGTTTTTGTGAAATGGAGTCAGAAATGCAGGAGTCACCTGATTGAAGTGGAAAATTTAGTATAACTACCAGGTAAAAGTGATACAAATCACAGGCATCCAGAATGGAAGGAAAGGGTGGAATAACCAATAGGAAAAAGAAGAAACAAAGCTTTTGGGTCTGAACTTAAAGATTTTGCTGTCCAGCTCCTTCAAAATCACAATTCTCCCACAAAGTCCAATGAATTTGGATGAATGGGAATTTCCTGCTGAAAAACTGCTGTGGGAATTTTCTGTGGTTTGCCCCAAGCACAGCCTGGTCTCACATCTGTGCCCATCATTATAACACAGAGCTCATATGGACATCCAAAATTTGGGCTCCAGCTCCGAGCTTTGAGCAGAAGGTGGGATTAGAGACCTCCTGAGGTCCCTTTGAACTTTGGAGATGTCCATAGCCCATGGAAAAGAGTGATTTTGTTAAGAGATCAAGAGGGAGGAAGGAGGAGGGAGGAAAAAAGCAAGAGAGGAGAATTAAAACAGGGGTAGAGGAACACGTTTTGTCAAAGCCATGCCTAGAAGGGAAAAACCCTTTCCAGGCTGAAAATTTAAAATTCCTTCCATATTTTCTTCCAAAATAGACTCAGAGTGATGGTTTGGGTTTGAAGGAACCTTAAAGTCATCTAGTTCAACCTCAAAGTAATGTTCTCCAGCCACACTACGGGCCTCAGTTCATCAGGAAAAGGGATTTTCCAGGTGTGCTGTCTTTGGGAAGGGGACACCTCTGACTGTGGGGTGTACCCATTAATGGGGAAGGCATAGACTCCTTGAGCAACAGGTCATTAACTTTTCCCTATTTGCTTCACAGAGAGGGGAGGAAAAGGCAGCCAGAACTCCCAAATCAGATGGAGGAGACACTGCATGGATCCAGAGGGAAGAGCAGGCTCAGCACCCCATGGCAGAGGAGCACTCAACAGATCGAGAGGTTTAGTGAGGTGAGAAGAAGCATTTTGATGTTCCAGCGCTGATTTTCTCCGGAAATCTTGGAGCTGCACAAAATCTGGTGGTGATTCTTGCTGGTTGGTCTTCAGAGAATCCACAACAGAGAGGTTTGGGTTGGAAGGGACCTTAGAGACCATCTCATTCCATGGGCAGGGACAACTTCCTGTAAAACAGATTGTTCCAAGAATATTGCTGGTCTGAGGAGGAAATCAGAGTTTGAAGCCACCCAGCTGGATGGGATAGCAGTGTGGCCTTGGTGCTGATGTGGTGTGAGGTTGAGGCAGAGCTGCCTGTGAGCCTCGCGACCTTTGGTGCCATAATTCCGAGAGTGCTCTGCACTGGCTCAGCCCTGCCTCATTCCAAGCCAGCAGGAAGGGCTGACAGGGAGCCAGCACGGCTCTTGCAATCCCTTTGGCTCCCCTAATTACTTCTGGCTGCTGTGGAAGCCGCAAGGACTTCAAAGGGATGATGCTGGTTTTGCGCGGGGCTGTCTCTCCCATCTCCCATCCTGGGTTCTCAGCCCGTGGTGGTCCATAAGGCTTCGGAAAGGCACTGCAGAAAACATTAAAATATATTACAAATGCACATTCCCACACAGACAAAGGCAAGGAAAATGGAGAGAAATCAAAGGGCTAAGTGAACAATGGAAATTCTGCTTTTTTCGCCTCTTTTTTTTTTTTCTTGGCTGTAAATGGAAAAGTGTGTGTGGGAGATGGAGCTGGCTTCTCCAGAAGGAGAAATGGCACTTCTCAGGGTAGGTTTACATAGGACATGTGGAAGAAATTCTTCTCTGAGAGGGGTTGAGACCCTGGCACAGTGTGCCCAGAGCAGCTGTGGCTGCCCCTGGATCCCTGGCAGTGCCCAAGGCCAGGCTGGATGAGGCTTGGAGTATCCTGGGGCAGTGGAAGGTGTCCCTGCCCATGGCAGGGGGTGGAATGGGCTGAGTTTAAGGTCCCTTCAACCCAAACCATTCTGGGATGAAAGAGGAGAGATTTTGGTCCAGGCTAAGCAGAAAAATGACATTTTGCTCTTGGTGGAGGTTTGATGGAGGTGCTTGTGCCAGGGAGAGTGATGGCAGCTCAGGTGGGATGAGAGAAGGTAGGCTGGGAATTGATGCTCTCCATATTCCATGGATGGGCAGCAAAACAGGGCTCTGGAACCAGAGCAGTGAATGTTCCAGGGGCTTTTTTCTCTTTTCCAGAGCATTGCCCACCTTCCTGGGCCCTTTTGGGTTGGAAAAGTGATATAATCACAGGGTTTCTCCTGTCAAGGCTGTTGGGAATGCTCCTGCACATATCCTAAAAGACAAGGAAAGATGGATTTTATCCCACTAGACATCATCAACCCATGGCTCTTCTGGGCAGTGGGGAGCAAGGAGAGTGGGGGCTCTTTATCCATCAGCCTCTCTCCCACGGGATCATCCCATTCGTTCAGCTCTTGGGACACACTAGTGGCACTTTTTTCTTGAGCCCCAGAGGGTTTTCCAGGCATGACGCTTGAAAAACACATCCCAGAGCTGGATTAACCCTGCCCAGTGTGGAGATGCTTTATAAGGAATTGTATAATTACACAATGAGCTGGTGGGACAGCTCTGAGTGGAGCAGACATGGCATCATCACACAAATTTAAGTGATTTTGGCAAAACTGTTCTGGCTGAAAGGAAGTTGCTTTGTTTGCCGATTTTCTCCCATTTCAACCCCGAAGAAAATGGTGATTTCCAGCCAGGCAGCTCTGCCCGTGCTCATTTGAACAGGCTTTTAGTGAGCTTCAGAGACTGGGCAATTGGGGTGGTAAACCCACTTTATGGGCTGTTGTTGACAGTGCTCTGCTCAGAGGCAGCAAAACTCACTATGTGCAGGGCCGGCTGCAGCGCTCCCGTGTACCCACGGAGGGAACCTTTCATGCTCCCCCTTTTCCGGCTCCCCAGCGATAAAAACACATTATTGAGGGGGAAAAAAAACCAGCACAAAAGCCTCAGAGTGAGCTGCTGGTTCGCTCAGCCTTCAGGCTCCCGTGCTGGAGGTTTTATTTGGCGGCTGACATCCTGCGGATGGCTGCAGAGCAGGCGCTTGGATTTTAGGAAGTCAGCCAGTGTGGTGCACTCTCTGTTTTTTATTTAGCTGCGCATTAAATGTTCCCCTTTGCCCCAGGTTTTATTAAGGAGAAATTAAAGAGAGCCTTGTTAAGCTGGGGACATGAAAGGAGAACGGGCCATCCTGCTGGGCCGAAGAAACAACCTCAGGATCAACGCCACAATTAGCTCAGTTCTGCAGGCCTGATATAATTATGGGTATCACAGTCTGCAAAGGGCATGGGAACAGCAGGAAACTCCTCTCAGAGAAAATTGGGGAGAAATAAAGGCTGAGAGGGACTTTGGAGTTCATCAGAGCTCCCAGCTGGTGGATGTCAGTGCATGCTGGGTTTGTTGGGTGATGGAGATCCCTGCGTGACCCCTCCCTGATATCCCTGTAAAACTGGGCACGTTTTGTGACTATAGCAAGCAGAAACACCAGATGTGACCCCTCCCTGATATCCCAACATTTCCCTGTAAAACTGGGCACGTTTTGTGACTATAGCAAGCAGAAACACCAGAGTCCACCAATGTCCCAGCCAGCTCTCGTAGCTGTGAATGAAAAACTCCAGGAAGGGGCCCTGTGGAGGAGGTCTTCAGGACACAAAACATCAGAGGTTTTCCAAAGGTGCGTGGAATGATGTCCCAAGCGCTGAGTTCATGTTCCCCACTGCCTTGGCTTCTCCCACCTCTCCTACTGCTTTGACTGAACCCCTGTACCACAATTAGGACTTTATTGGGGCTTGGTGATGTTTTTCCCCACGCCCAACCCTGTGCTGGAGTCTCTCAGTAGCAGGAAAAGGCCCAAATTAAGTCGGTATTAACTAATACTGAGAGCACCATCTGGTGGGCTGAGGGGCTGGGGAATGTGGCCATCAGCACCAGGGATGGGCTTCTGAAAGCATCCCAGAAATGCACCTGGGATGGGCCATCAGAAGGTTGTGGGTCTGCCTTCCCACAGCCAGCTCCTGACAGCCTCAAGGAGAAGGTGGAAATAATGGCCAAACATCCCCAAATTCTTCCTGCTTTTGAATGGATGGATGGAGCTTGACACGCTCCCTGAAGCGTGGAAAAAAACTCTGAGTGGGATGACTAAGCTCCTGCCATAAATATCCAGCTGTTCTTTCTTCTTTGGACTGCGTCATCCTTGTGGGGCTCTTCCAGCTCGGGGTATTCTGTGCTTCTTTGGAAGTGGATAAAATCTTAAAATCAGCTTTATTGTGGCCTTGGGTTCCATGGATCTGTGAGTGTATATTTAGATATATTCCTCTCATAGATATGTAAATATCTATCCATTTTCAGCTGGCTGATATTCAGTGTTTCCATCTGTAGCCTTCATCTGTGAGAGAGGGATTTAAATGTGTTCCTTGGCCATCCACATTATTCCTGTTCCTCATGGATTTATCCAGAGCCCTGTGAGATCCCATTAAGCCTCCCAGAGACTCTCCATGTGCTGTGCTTACAGAACCTGGGGATGGTGACCTCCAAAAACCAGATGAATCACATGAAAATTACACAGCATTTTTAAAACCCCGATCTTTTCCTTGACCTTTCAGCACAGCCCCAGAGTTCTGTGTGTGCTTTGAGGTGGGGAACATCCTCCCAGGATGTTTCTTGGCTTTTTCCAGGCAGCTGATCCTCCTTGTATCTGCAGGAAAACAGGTCAAAGATGTCCTTAGAACTGGAGCTCCTTCCTCTCTCCTGCTGGCTCCTTTAGTCTACCATAGGGATAAACTATCCCAGGAAATTTTTTATGCTGTTATCGTATAAATTTTGATCTAGATCTATCACAGCATTTCCTATACATAACCTGTCAGGGAATGTGTTTTTCCACGTCCTTGAGCTGTGTTCTGCTGTGCACCTGCAGGAGTTGAAGGAAATGTTGGCAGAGGTCTGACAAGAGACAGAAGTGGGATATAAGTGATTATAACCTACAAATCTGTTACATCTCCACTGGCTGGCATTGCTGAGTGTGTGCTGTGACTCTCTGGGGCTGGGTGATGTTCCATAAAAGGCTTACAGGGAATTTTATTGTCATTCCTCGTTGTGTTCCTACACAGCCATCAGATATCTCATAGAGACCGAATAAATAATCCACGTGAATTATTTTATAGCAGGGGCAGCTGATGGTATTTTACCAGAGTTGGGTTTTGATGTAATCAGCTCAGATGGAGCATAAAGAGAAAAAATGAGTGCCAAGGGAATTTCCAGCCCTGCCTCCCCGGGATGCTTTTCCCTGGGTTTCCAGGGCTCGCTGCTCCATCCTGCATTTGTGTCCTCCCTCTGCACACTCCTCTTGAGGCTGAGGCACTTGTGGGACTGGTTCCCACGTCTCCTCAGAAGGAAGAATCCCATAAGAAAACATATGGCATTTTTCTCATAGTTTTCATAGCGCAGCAGGTGGAAACGTGCAGGAAGAAAATCCAGCCGGGTGCACCCAGCTCTGCCGTGGGTGTCAAAAGCTGCTCGATGGAAGCTGCCCCTGAGCAAACACACCTGAGGGCTCTGCTGCCAGCAGCAAACAAGTCCCACCCCAAAAACACTTTTTAGCAGCAGCCTTGGGCAAGTTTCCTGACATGGAGGGCTTTCCCCTTCGGGCTGAGAGTCCTGGGAAGTGCCAGAAGTGCTTTGTGGGGGTTTCCACACCTCTTGCT